CCTGGCCCAGGCAGAGCTGCCAGCTGGAGGGCAGAGACGCGCTCCAGCCTTACAGCCAGGACGCAGCATCGGGGTAGGAACKGGCACACTCCAAAGAGCAGTGAGGAACTCCAAAGAGCAGTGATCTCCAGTGCTTTTGAATGGAGAGGTTTGGTTTGTGTGTGCTGCCTTTAGCAAGTACAAGGGCGTTACCAGTGGTGGCTGTGTGCAGACATGTACTTGTGATTGCTTGCTTTCAGTTATGGCTCATGGTGGAAGGGAAGTTAGAATAAAGTGGAGTTAGTGCAGGGGAGTGTCCCGTTCCAGTCCTAACCCTGAACCCTCCCCCAGGCGGCAGYAAACAAGGTCAAACTCCAAACTTGAATGGCAGTGAAGCTTCARCATGAACAAGCGCTGCTGTCCAGTTATCCTGGATGTTCTCCCACGTGAACAACTGTATTTAAGCTGATAATGGGCGGTTTAGCAAGGCCTGAAACCTGCTGGTAGAGTCRGAAGGTGCAGCGCGGCTGGGGCACTGTGCCCTGGGCACACACAGCTCTCGAGGTTTGCCTTTCTTTGCATACACTAAACACTAACCTAGGCCAGATCGAAAAAGGAAGCCTGCACTGTAAATATTTTGAAATCTATTTTAAGGGATTAAATGGTCATTGTCAGTGCTCACGTTCCTGCACTACCGTTACCAACTGCAGTGGGTGACTGCAGAGTCCCCTGCAGCTTGGACCTGGCTGGCTCTGAAGCGCAGTGGCCAGACTCTTAGGAGCCTCTTCTGTTCATTCTTGTTATAGGGCAGTTAGTTGTAAGAGAAAATAATGTAGTTCTTTCTTATCTGGAGGAAAAGGTTAAGCCCACGGGAAGGCTACAGGACCTTCTAGCCACAGTAACTTAATTATTTTCCCATCCAAAAACAGCAGACTTGAACAGGGTGTTACTATATCTTGATTTGAAAAAAGACAGCTGTTTGTAAGAACAGTTATTTAACCACTTCATAATTGCTTTAATGTTTTCCAGTATATTTTTAACATGTCCGTACCAGTCCGTAACTGGTTCTTGACAGTTTCTCAGCGCAGACCCCTGGCAAGGACAGGACTGTCCTGAGCTCAGTGCTGAGCGTCCCAGGGATGCCCAGTGCCCCCACTGCCAGTGGGTTGTTGGGTGACCTATGTCCTAAGGCTAATGAGGTTTTTAAAGGTAGGTTTTTTTGGTTGTGGGTTTGGTTTTTTTTTTTTTTTTTTTCTGAACTTGAATGAAAAGATCTTGGAAAATTTGCTCTAATAGCTATGGAATTATGTGTTTTGCTCTTAGGGGGTATTACTACACCTGGAAAGTTAAAAACGCTAATCTCTATTACCCCAAAATACAACTAAAAAAAACAGACTATGAAACATTCAGGAAATCAATTTCTTATTGCTAGTAAAAAGTAGGTCACRGGCACCTTGAACATGAAGTCTGTCCTCTTGATTAAACCCCCTATGGCTTGTAATTACCTTATGCAATCAAAAATATACATATTTATACATATGTGTATATATATTTATAAATATATATATATGTATATCTGAGAGAGATATATGCAACAGTAAATGCAAACACTCAATGAAGCCCCCCCCCCCCCCCCCAGTTTGTAGTCGGTTCCCGTGCAGGACGTGGTCTGGCCCTGCCGCGGGGGCAGAGCTGCCCCCTTCCCCGCAGGTGCCGCCCGGGCCGGCGGTGCCCAGGGCAGAGCCGCGGGCGCAGGAAGGCACCGAGCGCCGCCCGGGGCCTGCGCCCTGCGCGGCAAGGAGGCACCTTCTGGGTCCAACGGGTGGGACCTGACGTTTGTACGTCCCCGTGAAAGTGAAGCTTTACCTAAGGTTTGGGCGCAACCCCACGGGCAGCTGGGGGCCGAGCTCATCTCCTGCTTCACTGTTGTTCTCCCCATCTTGACCTTTCAGCATTTAATTTTAGGAACATATAAAAAGCTGTGATTTTATTTTCAGCCAGTCATCAAATTTCATGATTTACTTCACTGTCTCGTTAGTATGAATGAAATCCAAAAGTAAAGATACAACTTTCAGGCGAGTAGTTTGGATAGGATACGAATTATGGACGGTTTTGTTTTGTTGCGTTTCGCATGGGTAGGCGATGGCGTGAAGCCACCTGTGTGCAGCACAGCTGTGACACCCAGAGGCCAGGCAAGGAAACCAGAGCTCCTTTCCACAACGCACCCTCAATTTGATCGGCTAAAGGGAATTTTCTTTGCCAAAGCAAATTTCAGCAGCACTTGCTACTCATAAAACTTGAGTAGTTTCCACTTAGGGAAAAAAACCCAAGTCTTTGGAAACCCTCTTAATGGCCGATTCGAGCAGATTATGTAGACGTGACCCTGCATCGTGTTGCATCAGCACTGAGACAGCCCTCCCGCCCAGCCCCAGCCCTGCAGCACAAGAGGCTGCAGCTCTGCCACGGGGCCTTTCCTGGCTCTGTGCTGGCGCGCGTGGCACTGCCCAACCCGCTCACAACCCACGCTCCTATCGGTTGTTTTCTACTTGTGAGTACTGTATCCCGTTCAAAACCAACAGCTTACTTTATTAAAAATTTTACCATTTTATAAAAGACATGTTTAATTATGATGGAGATGGCTGTATTGTAATTAATATTTTGAGATAATTGTGATTTTGAGCTTAAATTATATACAGAAAATGGTCATTTTTGTATGTGTTAAAAGATTGCTATATTACAAATGACTAACTGTACTTTTCAGTTTAATTACAGTATTAATGTAAATAAGGCTGAATGAAGAAATATTTACTACTTTATTAACATAGATTGTGAATGTACTTAATGTTTTTTGCAGTATAAGGACTTACTGAACTTGAAAGCTGCTTCATTTTATGTGCAAAAAGGTACTTCAAATTCTATTTTAACTCTATTGATTCAGTGAAATCAATTATATTGTTAGTTAATTTGCACATGCAAGTTGTATCCTTCCAGTTTTATTTCATGTATGACACTAAGCCGTAAGGTGCATATTGTGTTTAGAATGCATTTTGCAGATGCTTCTGTACAGAAAACAAATACAGGGACTAAAACGATGCTGTGCAGTGTATAGCAGAGCCATTTTTCGGCTTTGGTGTACCCAACTTTTTCAGTATTTAAAAAGTGTTTTGAATAACATTAAAAAGTCTCTTTATTGTATAAATATTAAAATGTCACCTTATTGTAATTAATTTTGTCATCTTTTACTGTTGGAAAGGATCTGAGTTTTAGAAAAATGCTGTTCTCTGAGTTACGGGGAAAAAAAAATGATGTTTGTTACCTYTCTCACTTAAAACTGCTTCGTCTTCATCACTGATGTAGGTGTAAGCAGGTGGTGGCTGCAGGCCCATTTGCTCTAGTTCCCACCCTCCAACGCAGGAGCGGAGGGACGGGCTCTGTCCTTGGCCCGGTGACCCAGCTGAGCAGCTCCTACCCTGCCACCAAGGACAAGGGGCAGCTGCAGCCCCAGGCCTGGGGCCGCTCCAAGGGCCGGGGCGAACGGGAGGGCCCAGGGAGCAGAGCAGCAGGTCAATAAACCAAGTAGCTCCAGCCCATCTTGGGACAAGATCGGTGTCTGTCATGCGTTCTGCACGAATACGCTATTAGTTACGTGTAACGGGAAGACGCCAGCACCTCTTGTCCTTCCTCGCCACGCCCCAGCCTCTCCCCCTTGCTGGACCCCGTTCCATCATTACCAGGCCTGGGGCTGGGGTGGCTGCAGGGCTGGGGCCGGGTCCTGGTGCGGGGCTGCTGCGAGGGCAGCAGCACAGGCCGCCTCGCTGCGCACAGCTGCTCGCTGCAGCTCGGGTCCTGGGGAGGAGGGAGGAGTTTAAYCTTAATTCTGGACATCGGCAAAACACTGGAGAGCTTGAACCATACTGAACTTGCCCTGCTACAGACTGGACAGGCAAAGGCAGAGAAAAAAGTTTTCATGCCATCCCCTTGAGCCTAGGAACCCGTGCCAGAGCCAGGAGGTCAGCCTGGCTGTTCCCATAYGGAAGTGGAAGGCAGACACTACTGCTGTCCTAAAGCCTAGCAAGGAGGTCACGTAGTTAAAAGTCCCGGTTTTGTTTTTCCAGCTGGCACTTACAGAAAGCAGCTTGCCGGCGGCAGCAGCGCAGCCCTCCGCAGGGGCAGCACCCAGGTCCTGGCTGGCGGCCCAGGCCGSGGCCGAGCGGTGGAAAGGAGGGGAAACGGAGCCACGCTGGAATCYGCCTCAGTTTTAGTCCTCACTCGGGTCTCTAACAGTCTGAGCRGCAGCACTACACACCTGCAGTCACAGCACAAGCAACATCAAGCAGCTTCTTTTAAATTACTCATATCCATGAAAAWAAATTACTCATATCCATTATTAATAAGAAATCACCTCTAGGATGTGGAGGTATTCGTAAATACAAAATAAAAARTGCCTATATATTCTAAAGTACTCAAATGAAACCAAAATCAAACATCCATCAGGAAACGTTTATTATTTCAGTGCAGCTACCGACACCAGCCACGTCTGGATTATACAGAGCCCGTGCATGCAGCGGGCGGTACCTGTCATACTGCAGCGGCACCGTAACGTGCAGGTTAAGGCCTCGAGCGCTTTAACACACTGACCAGGAGCCAACTGCTTGAGGCAACAGTGGACCAAAACTTTATAGAAGACAGTGTAGCAAATATTTATAAAACAGGCATCAAAAAAAGGGGAGGAGGGGCAAAAAGTTTATTTATATCTTATTTATGCTCAAATACTTTGGTGTTTAATTTTATTTTTTTAATTTATTTGTAGAAAAACATTACTACTGAACCTAGCTTTCAACACAATACCTTATTACAAAAAGTGCCAACAAAACTATTRTGGCATTTTAAAATTCAAAACGTGCAACCTTGGAGGGAAAAATATTTCATGAGCAACTTCTTCCTTTTTACCATCCAAACTCTAAATCCCATTTTCACAGGCTTTATGGCAGCAGCTTTATCAGCTTAACAGAGTTCTCGTTGCTAACGGAGGGAGGCAGTTGAGTGCTCAGTGTGTGGTCAGCGAGGAGCGGGATCCACCAGCCCAAGAGGGAAACAAACAGCTGCACTAGGCAGGGATTCGGCTTCTCAGGTATTCCAGCACTGCGGCCGTTCCCTTGGCCAGAACAGCTGCACGRGGCGTGCGGAAGGGATTTCCTTCTAACAGGAGGGTCCTGGAAAATCAGAGATGTTGGATGCATTTTTATAACGGGTTACACAAACCATTCATACACCATGCATCAGTTCATGAAACATGCGGTATTCCTGAGTTCTCTTGTGTTCTTTCGAAAGACTTTCAGCTGCGGCTGTCGTAATTCCCACCTGCCGATCTCCTTTGGACACGGGAACTGTGCTCGATGGCAGCAGCTCTGCGCTCGTACCGTCCTGCCGCTGCAACCCACACCCACCCACACACCCACACACACCTCTTCTTCAGCGAGCCTCTGCCCAGGACAGGGAGGAAAAAGACCTGCTGAAACACATAACTGCCACAAACCACAGAGTCATATACGTTATAATAAAACTCTCCTCGTGCAGCTGCTGACCCACTCTTCTTGGGTGAGCCCACGTGGGTGCTCAGGTGGGCGAGGGTTCCAAATCACTGAAAACCCAGCAATCAATACAGGGAGTTTGATGCATTCTCCAACTGCAGATCACTGCAGATACTAAGAGCCACCAGCCAGCCAGTCCTCCTCCGAGAAACACCTTTGCCTCCTTCTATTAGACTCCAAGCTCCTCACGACCTCCTAGACTTYATTAATGAAAGTGTCATCTGCAGATTTTACCGCTTCTACTCTTCACTTTCTCCTCAGTTTCTACACAGCCAACTGTAGTGTAAAATCTTAAARAAAACCTCAGTACCTTCAGTTGCTAACGTTTTAACAAAGCAGCTTTGGCAAAGAGACAGAAACAAAGGCCAACTAAAGAGATAGTTATTCTTAATACCAACGCTCCATATCCTATGAAAAAACTCCTACAGTAAAGAGCAAAAAGCAAATTGAGAGGAAGCTAAATTAGGAACCCCTTGCAGTTTGACCCTTTGCAGTTAAATTAAACTCTACTTTGCAGGGTGCTTACTTATGTAAGTAGTTGTGCATCCAGCCTTCAAAGTCTTCAAAGTTTAATATTAATTTGTATTCACAGAGTACATTTTCACAAAGTCATGAAAAAAACTTTGCCAATTCTCTAAAAAKCTTAAGCAATTGAAGAAATTGCATGGTTTTACAAATAATGAAGACCTACTCAGATGTTTGTAGGTCCGAATACATAACTATCTTGCCAACTTGTAATTTTCCCTCTGACAAAATAGACCTTGAAAAAAAATCTRTGTGTTTTATCCACACGCCACTGCTCAAAATACACACCTCAGAGTCTCACAGTTTCCCAGTTCTGGTGGCACCTGGAGGAGGTCATTGTTCTGAAGGTCCAGGGTTCCAAGCTTGTCCATCTTCTGCAGCTTCAGAGCATCTATGGACCCGACCTGATTGTTACTGAGCAGGACAGTCTCCAGGGCCAGGAGGTGATAAAGGACACTGGGAAATACTTTAAACCTTAAAAAGATGGGAGTCAGATATGAGACACACAAAAAATAAGTAGCCTTAAAAATGAAAGAGGTTTTTAGGTTGTTGATCTTAACTCCTCTTGGTTTAAATAAGCCACTCTGAAAGGAGAAAGTACAATGTTAACTTGCACACAGTGAAAAAGCTGGACAGAATTTGCGTAGTGGCAACTCAGCACCCATAACAGAGACCTATAGTCCAGCAGCACCATTTACAGAACTGCAAATAACCACCCACACATTTTTCTTACAGTGCATTTAATTATCCAGTACTGTATATTCCTTAAGAGCCCAGTACTGCAGCTCAGAGCTATAACTACGAATGTGCTGTGCATCATATTACTCCAAAAATTCCACGAACATTCATTTGCAAACAAYATATAGGTTCTCCTATGTCATCATAACAGAACACATAGCAATATATACACAATTTGGGGAAAAAAAATCACCAAGTTAACCTAATTAATGAAAATAAATTTGACAATTTTTAAAAGTGCTTTCTCTTTAAAAATTAAAACATGAAACATGTTCAGCATTGCACTTGTTTTCTGAACAGTAACCTGAACACATTTCTGAAAGGCTACCCTCCCTTAAGCTTTTCCTAGGAGTAAGAACAAATAAAGCCTAGAGAATGAGCTGTAACTAACACAGATGGGGGGTGTAAAGTCACTGGGAGTTAAAATAAGGTCATAGTTGATAGATAATGTTTGGAAAAACTTATGCCTAGGCAAAACTGAAAGGGTATTATTTGAATTTCACTTAAGTTAGTGGCAAAACTTCCACTGCCCTCCTTAAGATCAGGATTTTACAGAAAGCCTTCATGAAGGAAATGGGCTAAGTGGAGACAAAAGATTCAGTTGCTATGATATACTCAAAAACACAATAGATCTTCTAAAATCATAGGCACAAGGTATTACAGTAAAACTTACTCCAACATAAATGACAGTTCTCCAACATAAATGACAGTACCAGACACAAGAGTGTAAAGAAGGGAGAATAATGGGCAAATCTTTTTCTGTGCATGTAAGAAACGGCCTCCGGAGTGAAATCAAGGGTCCTTCTAACCCAGAACTGTCTGTCACATCCGTAAGCAATAAAAGCAGGATGAGATGCTATTCAGGAAGGCTACTCAAGCCCCATCACACACCACAGTCCATTGCCCTTGCATTTTTCCAGCACCCAGATCTGCCTTATTATAGTGTTAACAGGTACATCCCTGACCAGGGCTGCTGGAACCCACTTCTGGACACACTGTTCACAGTGCTGTTCAATGCTGTTTTGAACCAGCTGGTTCTCAGTCTCTCTCTGAAACTTCTTGGGATGGCAAGCTCCTCAAATACACTACACTGTGCACAGAAAAACATTCTCTTTATATGACTCACACATTTGATCACAGGAATGTCATACAAATTTGGCCCAGTCTTTTTTATATTATAAAAACTCTACAGCATGACTTACCTATTAAAGGAAAGATTTATTATTTGCAGTCTTGTCAGTGCCTCCATTTCCTCAGGTAATGATGTCAAAAAATTATTTCTGTGTATCAAATGAAGACAAATAATAATTACTAACTTTAGCAAGCATTAATTAAGAATTCTCAGTGACACAATACGCACATTTACCACTACTAACATGCTGTTTTAAATCAGCAAGCWGCTTCATAAATGGGCCAAGACCACGCTCAAGCAGAGATGCTCGCTGATGCAAGCATCTGATGCAAGCATTCGGATTTTGGCCAATAAGTAACTTGCAAAAAAGATATTTGAGCRTGGCATATAAAGGGTCGTTAACAGGAAAACAAATTCCATTCACTAAAGACGACCCAGACATGGACTTAATTCTTGTGCATTCTGAGATATTCAGCCTTATCCTCTCACCAACCTCACCTCAGCAACCATTTCTGCAGTCCTCGGCCCGACTTGGCCATCAGCAGCACATATGTTACAGGCAGCTTAATTTAAACCAAGCCAAAGCAAGAAAGTCTATTTGCAACTGGGTTTTACTGCTTTTCATTCCATGATGCACCCGAGAGAATAACTGGTAGCGAGTTAATGCTAAACAGCTAAACAAATGCATGTTTTTCCATAAGTTAGAGAAAGCAGAGTTACAGTAAGGAACTTAATAGGTCTATGACAAATAGAAGTACCTGTAGACAGCTCCAGCTTCACGCAGCACACCAAGGCTGCTCTCGTTGGTACCACTTCCCAGATACCCTCCAGGGTTTGGGGGTTGTTTTTTATTTATTTATTTATTTTTTAAACGTTCATTTAACATCTCTGAGGACCTTTCTATGACAGGGGCAAGACCTTTCATTAGAGCAAGACTCAGAGCTTGCCCACCCCACCTTTTTTGGTTTTGTTAAAAAAAAAAAAAAAAAAACAATGCTTAGATCTAGGCCACTTGCCATTTCAGATCTGCAAGTCATTCAATTGTCACGGAGGTATTTAAAGAAATGAAAAATTACTTCAGCACTGCTATACTGCAGGAACAGATGGCTGGTTTAAAAAGGCATGGAAATAAATTACTCAGAAAGGAAGTCCAACACACGACACAAACCTGATATCCAAATGTGTCAATTTATGAAGCGTGCAAAGCTCCAGGGAAATAGATGAGAGTTTATTGAAGCCAAGGTTGACATCATCAACTGAGTCTTTCAGCTCGACAATTCTGCAACATTGAAAGAATATACTTTTATTATGTAAATGTGTGCATTATATTTTCAACATTAATGGAAAAATACTTTATTCTAGAAATTCACAAACCAAGGACATTCTTTATACACGCTTCAGAAGTGATTTTGTGAAGATAATGGAAAGTAAACTGAAGGAAGCAGCCTATCCTGGACTTTCATGCTTGGTGCAAAGACAAAGCTCAGAGTTCCTTTCCTAAAGTCAGTTTCACTGAAACAGAAAAGATTTTATTACAAAACCCAGTTTACTTAAATGTTGTTAAGAGGTATTTCAGAAACTGTGGCAACAAATGATCATCACTCATTTCCTGCCCTGTATGTTTTAACAAAAGACTCCATTCATGTGATTCCATATGATTCTTCAATAGTCACCACAAACGTATTTATGATTATTTCATTTCTGTTCCCCTGTTGTGCTATTGCAAACTGCATTTGCTGCTTCTCATAAAATACTGAGATGTTTCAGTATAAAGTGCTTAGAAGTTCAGAACGTTAACTGTTGAATCTCCATGACAGAATCTTCGTTTTAACCTCAAAGAGGTAATTAAATGAGCTAAATACTCACCTCTCCTACCTGGATTCCCACTGAATTCTCCTTCACCTAGCAGCTGCACATCTATACCTTCCTCCCCACTGAATGCTACAGCCTTCAATCCATGAAAAAGTATGGAAGGCACAAACATTATCTCACCAAACTCATCTTCTGCGAATGTACTGAAAAGATTTTTTTTTTCCATGGGAAAAAGACAGCACCTCCTCTTCAAGCTCTGTGTGCTAAAGGTATAGAATGCCTAGCACATTTGGGTTCCAGGATGGAAACAAGTGGGCACCACACTAACACAGACAAATCCATACTGATTACTGAAACACACCTTCCACCTTTATCTGCTTACACGGACAGAAATGATTTGGGCATGTTGATTCCAACTGAGCATTATAAAAACACGCAGACACATGTTTAGCTCACAAGAGCTAAAACAGCTCAGAGCTCAAGCACACAACTTCTGCTCAGGCAATATTGCCAAATTAAGGCACTATAAGGGTGTCTGGGTAACAACTGCCAAGCCAACCAAGGAGGCACCAGGCTGCTCTCCTAGGTAAGAGAATTCCCATTACATCTATCCCATATCAAGCACAACAACTTCATTACTTGAAGCTGCTCTTAAGATTTGTAAATACTAAGTTATGTGGTAGTCTCTGTGGTGCAGGTTCAGACTGTTAACTCCCCATTGCCTGCCCTTTCTTATAAGCAATCTCAAAAATATTTAGATATATTAAACACAAATTTTAAGAATAGTTTCTAAGYGTCAAAGTTTTTTTTTCTACTGTATAGGTTGTCATAATTTTTTTCCTTAAAAATCAGTTTCAATCATTTTCTTAAACTACTAGAGATGCAGTAACACCCCTCATTACACAAAAAGACTAATTATTCTCACTCAAATTTTCCCTTGAGTGTGGATGAAGAATCACATACAATAGTATCAAATGCTACTTGATGGCATACCAAATGTTTTAAGAAAATGGTTCAGGCTTTTTTCA